GTAGCTGGAACAGAGGCTTCCCGGGGCGCAGCGTGTGACCCCCCCGCGCCCCGGCCTATTACACACACCACTGGGCCCCAGCGCCACTCACCGGCACCAACCGATTTCACGCTTGGGGGGGCAACGCCACAGCCCTCGCCTCCAGGCCAGTTCACACCAGCCGAGCGGGGCGGCCACACGGCTCACCGCCATTCGTGCCAGCGTCGCCCGCAGCTGCCGCAGAACAGGGCAGATCCCCCCGTGCCTCCCCCACACGAGCAGCACGTCCCATGAGAGGGGCACCCATGAGAGCTGCCCCCACGTGTGCCAGGGCACCGCCTGGACCCCGCTGCCTTCAGCGGCCGCACTGGACGGAGCCAGCAACGCCAGCTTCACCCCAGCGCTGACCCCTGCCCTGCACCTGCAGCCCTGAGCAGCCGGGCATGGGGCGCTCGGGGCTGCTCCGACGCAGGGCAGGGCAGGGCCGGGCTCCTGCAGCACTGGAGCTGCAATGGAGCCAGGTCCTCCCTCCCCTCCCGCCTCTATAGCAGGGCTGGGCCGCTCCAGGCTGCCTGGTCTGCTCTCTCCTGCCCGGACAGGGGCACGATCCCCCCCTGCACCACCGCCCAGAGAGCATGCAGGGGGTGCAAGAGAAGGCTGTGAGGGACAGGTTATTCCTGAACCCAAGTCGGCCATAAACCCAGCTCTGTTCGGCTCCAGGCTCAGGAGCCGCGTGTGGGTCCAGCTCCTCTGCGCCTGTGGATGGGGCAGCCCACGGCCCGGGGTCTGCACGCATCCCGCTGCGGCGGGGCCGGCTCTCCCTGCTGCCAGCAGTGCCGGGAGGAGCAGGCGCCGGAGAGGAAGACGGGCAAGGCCAGGGGCACACGGGGCACCAATCCCCGGCGGCTGGGCTCACGCTCACCGTGCCAGTTCCTGGAAAAAAAAGCATGCGCGGCACCCAGCGCCCCCGCTGCAGGCTGCCGCGCTTCCTGGCAGGGAGCTGTATTTTTAGCCGGCGAGGTTTCTAATTCCACTCGATCCATAGTTCCATCAATAGCGCGCGTAACCTTACAGCCCTCCAGCAGCAGAGGAACGGCAACCCTAGGGCAGACGCAGGGAGGGCAGCGTGCCCCCTGCCCCGTGCCCACGCCGGGCCCCGGGGCCGCTGTCGGGAGCGCGGCACTGCAGTGGCCCCGCTGTGTCCCGGAGGACAGGGGACAGGGCCCCCGCCCCTGGCCGCAGCTCCCCAGCTGCTGCAGCGCGGCGCTCGGGGCGCTGGGGGTGCCCTTGCGGGCCGGCACAGCGCTTCCGCACGCACAATGTCACTCTTTACTGCCTGCTGCAGCCCTGGCGCTTCTTAAAAAATAATAATACCCATAAAACAGGAGGTACAAGGAGATTCTAAACAGCCTCGATTAGAAACCCCTTCGGCTGGCACGTGCCCACTGAGCACCGACAGCACGCCAGAGCCTGGCACCCGGCCCTGTGCCCCCAGCGGGCAGGCGGCCCGTGCCCCTTTGGGGCGAACAGCCCCCCAGCTCACGGGGACCTACAGCTGGGATTTCCTTCCATCAGAGGCTCCGGAGCCGGCAGAGCGCGCGGGGGCGACGCTGGCACGGCGTTGCCCAGACACGCCGGCTCTGGCCCAGGCTGCACACACGCACATGCTCCCATCTGCTTCCCGAGGCCGGCGGGATCCCTAACGGCGCGGGCAGATTGCTAACAGGGCGCTGGGGGTGGGGACGGCGTGTGCAACATTTTCATGGACCATCTGCTCTGCGGAGCGCCGCAGGCAGCCGGTGAACGCGGGGACAGAGCAGGGAGGCGGGGGGGGCACTGGCCCCACTCCCCCCAGCAAGCCCCACGGCCCAGCGGAGCCTGGCTGGCTCAGCGCCCCCGGGCCCGCGCCGGCAGAGCCACGGGCAGGAGGGAGACA